AAACGGGATCGAAAGATAATCTTTCTCTCTCCATTGACTTCAATACATACTTTTTCAGAAATAAGGTCCCATGGAGGTCCCCCGGAAAGGACTTCGCCTCTCTATTGCATCTGGTGCTATGATAATGTAAAAATACAAATCAAGACGGTAGTTATTTATATATAATAGTGAATGTTTTTATGAAAAGTCAACAACAATGATTGTGTTTTGATTCAAGTTGTGTTATATGCGTGTTATTAGGGTGCCAAAGAGGCTCTGGAGCTGGGCATCAATGGCCCGGAGGGGATTGAGATCAGTCGACCAGAGGAGGTAAATTCACATCTGAGGTCATTTCCTATCAACCCAGTTTTTATTTCTTTAGATTGTGTGCTTCTACATTTATGTGAATAAAAAGAAGTTGGTTTTCTGCTCATCATTGATATGGAGTACTTGTTTGAACTCCTCTGTCTTATTTTCTACAGCTTGAGTCTGAGGCTACTCACAGGGCTATCACCATCGCCAACAGGGTAAACAGATGAAACAAATATGTTCTTGTCTGTGAGTATGTGTCTGTCTGTCTTTGATAAATGAATGAATGCTCTTGTGCTTGCAGGCTCACTGCCCGATCTACCTGGTGAATGTGTCCAGTGTGTCTGCCGGAGACATGATTGCTGCTGCTAAGATGCAAGGTGAGAGACAGTGGTGTTGATATAAAGAAGATGATGAAAAAGATTATTTTAACTAACCTCTTTGGTTTTCTGTCTGCAGGTAAAGTGGTCCACGCAGAGACCACAGTAGCTCATGCTGTTCTGAACGGGATGCACTACTACCACCAGGACTGGATTCATGCTGCCGCCCACGTCACCGTCCCTCCTCTCCGCATCGACCCCAACACACCCAGCTACCTCATGGGCCTGCTGGCCAAGTATGTGCTCCCAACAACATTTTTTTTGTCGTACTGGTTAATGATTATAGACAATTCAGATTGTTAAAATGCGTAACCTGTTTCCAGTGACTCTCTGAGTGTGGTGGCATCGGAGCACCGTCCATTCAGCACCAAGCAGAGAGCTCTGGGTAAGGAGGACTTCACAAAGATCCCTCATGGGTTGGCTGGAGTCCAGGACAGGATGAGTGTCATGTGGGAGAGGGGAGTGGTACGTACGATACACACAATCACATCACACACACACAAAAACTTGTGTTCGGTTTTTGTCTGTGTCAAATTTCCTTTGTTAGTTTGTGTCATGTTTTGTCAACTTCCTTTTTAGTTAGAATGCATTTCTGGGTTTTTCTCAGTCAAATAAAAACTGTATAATAACGTCTATTTTGATTACATTCAATTCATTACTCTCATAATTACCTTAAGTATCAAAGTCCCCACATCAGCATCGCCTTAACTGGGCCCTAAATAATATGCCGTAGAATCCTCTGACAGTAATAACAATTCACAGATTATTAACTAAATGTCCTGTTTGCATTTTTTCTTACATGTTTTAAATGCATTATTACCTGCAGGTTACAGGGAAGATGGATGAGAATCGTTTTGTGGCAGTGACGAGCTCTAACGCTGCAAAGATCTACAACCTGTACCCACGCAAGGGTCGTATCATCCCCGGAGCTGACGCTGATCTGGTGGTCTGGGACCCAGATGCAGCGAGGTACACAGTTATATTCAAACAGGAAGACACCAAATACTGGCTGCTAATGCTTTATTGAGTTAAACATGTATTGGTATTAAAGGTCCCCTATTATACAGTTTTTCATCAATATACTATAGGTCTCAGATATATCCAAAAATGTCTCTGAAGTGTTTGGCTCCAAACACCAAACAGGTCATTGCAGCATTACCCATAATCCCCTCTGTTTCAGCCCTGTTTCCAAAGTGCTGATTCTCTGTCTGTTACTTTAGATGAAAATAAGGAGCCCCTCCCCACGCCCCTCTGAGAGAGATTTTGTTAAAAAGAACTCAATGGTGCTCTAGGAGGAGATTCAGGTGATAAGGGGGAGGGGGGGGTTACCTTGGTTGCTGATTGGCTAATGGTTACACAAGCCAAAACATCGTTATGACATCATAAAGTGGCCAAAATCTGATCAGCTCATTTTCAGACAGGTTTTTATTTAAATGGATCAGGACAAAAAGAGAGAGAATCTTTGTTCCTGAAACTTTCAGAGTCTCTGAAGAAGAGGGGACACATGCTGATGTAGAAGAGACATGAAGAAGAGGGGACACATGTTGATGTAGAAGAGACATGAAGAAGAGGGGACACATGTTGATGTAGAAGAGACATGAAGAAGTGGATTTTGCATAATAGGTGACCTTAAAAACACTTTAAAATAAGGCATTGANTGTAAATAGGAGGAGAGTTTACCCAGAGAGCTTTGCGCTGCAGATGAATCTCCCACCCAGACTGAAGCCAGAGAACAGGCTGCTTCACAGCACTTTAGAACCCAGGAAAGCAGCTTGGATCATTTAAAGAGGCGGCAGTTAGCAGCTAGCGGCTAGCTTCTTAGTGCAATAAGAAGCTACAGGGACGTTAATCTAAACGTCGGTAATATTAACTTTATTTAATACAACATTTACGGTACAAGGTTTACATCATACAGCCCATGTAGTATAATATTTTACAAATGATGAATTACAGCAAACATGTGCAATATATCCATTATTACAGCTCCGTGGGATGGCAGTAAGGCGATATGGTCCGTTGTTATTGTGCATCCATGGGTAAAGACAAACTCATGTAGTACTGAACATGTCACATGAACGTGCCGGGCGGCGCGGTCCCGTGGGTTAGATGCAGGTTCATAATACCGAGGGAAATAACTCTCAGAATAACGTTATTAGCACATTTTTACAACTTGAGGAACGAATGTTTTTAATAAGGTCTATACAAATGTTCATACTGGATAGTTTATTTAGTTTAAAAAAAATTATCCAATGAGTTACAGACCACTCTTTCCCAATGTAAGTCAATGGGAAAAAGTGTTTCCGGGACCAGCAACCAAACGGAAGTGTAGTACCGCCGTTTGGCCAGCACGAATATTCTCATCAGACTCCGGCGCACTTCCTGGGGGCTTGAGCTCAACCGGAAGGGGAGGGACTTCGCCACTCTATTTCACGCAGTCTGTCTTCCGGTTGCCTCTTTTGAATGACGAATAAAAACTACCGCCGCCTGCTGGTAAGGAGAGTTATTGCCACTCACGAATGTGCAGTGCGTACGTGCTAATTGGCCGTTGGCTGAAGTCTTTGCGGTGTGTTCCAGTGCGACTTTTTGGCCAAGACGCAGGAGACGTGAGGCGACACAACAGTTCGTTCCATCGGGACGTGTTCTTTGGTGTCAGTTTGGTGTGTCCGGACCTTAAAATGGTCTTAAAGACAGTATCAGAAAACTTCCACTTTTATAACACTGTTAATAGGATACTTTCTGCAATTATAAAATGGTACTGCTGTATATAAAGACACTGCAATTGTGCTTAACAAAACAGTGATTGCTGCTGCTAAGAAATGTGAAATGATTTCTAATGCCTGTTGTTTCCACATGGCGCCAGGAGGGCTTTGCTGACAATTTATGAAAACATCCCACTCCCCCTCCTTTTGGGCTATTTTCCCTTCAGTTAAACCTGTTTTTGTGTTCAAGGTTTCTTCTTTAACCCTTTATTCACATTCTGTTTCACAAGTTTATACTTGCAGAATTACCTGACATGCTAAGTCTTCTGTGGATGCTTCTTTAACCTTTCAGGATACAGTTTCTACAATTACAAAATACTGCCATTGACTAAGGGACTTAAGAAGTTGCAACTTAATGCTCACTGCTGACTGAGTTAAATGTTGTCCACTCTGTGTGTTTTAGAGTCAAATTGTGGCCAGAAAAAGTCTAAACGTTGCCTCAGGCAATTTTTCAAAAGCAGAATTTACCATAGACATTTAGAGTCTGTCATCAAAGACTTTGTTGCTGTGGTGCAGAAGGGGGATGTTTTCAGCACTGACCGTAACTATAACCCATGTACAGACAGAACCTTTCCATCATAATGCTAAAATAACTACTTTGGCTCAATTGCTTTGCTTCCTGCTATTTATGCTGACTGGTCCATTTTTCTTCTGACTTTGAATGCCCCATCTCCTCTACTAGACTCCCCTACTAGAGCCAATTTGATTTATTTTGCTCTTTTCCTGCCCATTAACAATCCACTAGGTCAATATACCCATCACACTCGTGAAAACAGGGCAAATATCTAAAGCATTTCCTGCCAATGATTGTAGGCAAAGCGATCTGATATACTTTCATATTTTCCTTTTCTTTCCCGCATCCTTTGTGCTTTTTAACAGAGAAGCTTCTCCCCATATGTCATTCGTTTTGGTAAATGATCACTGCTCTTGAAATTGGTCAACATGATGAGCTGATTAGAGAATGGAACATTGAAATTTCAGTCAGTTGAAGCAAAAATGTACCCATGTATGAAATGGATGGTAATTACTGGGTAATATAAGTACTGCTAATATTGGCATATATTCATCTGATTTAGTCAATCAGTCATTTCATTCTTCTGGAAGCAACACATTTCTCTCCCCTAAATCATTTATTCCCTTCCGATCCGACCATATTAAATGTAATGACTTTCACCCTCAGGCAGTAGCCAGCACAGCATCCAAAGAATGCCATGGGAGCGGGCTAATGGCAGCAACATTAAAAAAGCCAGCATCTGGCCTCCTGTGCATGGACACATATGTCTGAGATGCTCTCCAGTCCAACCAGCAGTGCCCCAGGCCCTTGGACTAACAATGAATACGTTAGAGGTGCTGATAGAGTAAACGTTAAGGATAATTGACCACGCTTTTCTATCGTTTTGGCCTATGATGAGTCTGTTTTACCACACTGGGTCATAAATGACCAATTGATCCAGGGAACAGCAGAGATAATCGGAGTCTGGATGTGTTTATGTGTAGTTTCCCCCCATTAGCAATTGCAATTTCCATGTGTAAGCATGCCCTCTACAGCTCTAAATTCCCTGGTAGTTTCTCACTACGAATTGTAAACACAAGAAGTACACGCAAATTAAATTGTGCATTACTTATGACTGGGATTTTCATTTGCATCTATGGAGCATAAAGACTTAATTAATCACATTCAACTCTTAATTGTATTTTGGTTCAAGAGAACTATGTAATGATAAGCCGCATGCAGTTTATCTGAAGCCTCTTGCTATCCTTTCCTTTCCTTTCCTTGCCTGGCTGTGCTTTTACACATCTCTAACATCAGCACCAATTCATGTCTGCACAGTGTACAAGACACTTGTTTACAATCCCAGAGAAAGTATCTAAAAGTCTGTGAACAGGATTTGACAAAGTAGGGGGTGGTGAGAAAAAGAGATATGCTGTAATGGAGGAAAATAGCAGAGGAAATACAGGGGAAAAGAACAGATGGTGAGAGAACAAGGGAGACAGAAACCAGAAGAAAAAAAAATAGGACAAAAAGATTTGTAAACAAACAGCTGAGACATTGAAAGAACATAATAGGGTGTAGCAGAAACAGAAATGCAGATTACATTAAATGACTGGAAGTAAAACATTCAAACACGACAAAATGAAAATGACAGACAATAAGGGAGAAAACGACTAAAAGCCAAACTGTTGGCAGTTCCAAATATCTCACCAGATGTTCCCAGATGCAAAATCTGCTCCTTCAAGATGACACCACATTACCCTGACTTTATTGTTACAGATGTGGTTCTATTGACTGCACCCCTGATTTACACCAAGGCAGCAAGTGGACCGGCCTAGCCTCCCAGGACCCATTCAAACCAAACGCCCCAGCAGGGAGGAGGGAGCAGCAGTAGAAGTAGCAAGCTGGGCATAGTGGAGAAATTGCAAGGGGAACAGACACCATACTGCGCCATTCCAGGCATCTGGCCTTGGGAGGGAAGTTGCATGTTTCTCTGACAGGCTGTATGGCAGAGTAAACCAGAACTTGCTTTCTTCCCTCTCTAGATTTAGTCACCTCCACATTTTTCTTCACTCTGTGTTGCTGTTTCCTCTCAGCTTACAATGAGCTGTAGAAAATGCTGGCAGGAGAAAAAAGACACTGCTTTAATCAATACCAACACAAGGCATTGGCTGAAGAGCAGAGGCAGCGATAAAGACAGAAAAAGGGACTGTGCTTACGTTTTTTTCCTTGAGCACAAATTGCCTTAGGAACCATAAGACTCTAAGAAGGCCCCAAGAATGCAGAAACGCGTGTGGCTTAAGGAGATGAGCAGAACCAGAATTCAGGATCTCAAAACCCCCTGGTGTGTGCAGAACTTTGAGGTTGACAGTGTCTGGAAAATGAAACCATAAAACAATGGCTGCAATCGTAAGCAGCCATGACCGATTTTAAGGACAATTAATGTTTTATCCTCATCTGTAGACTTTTATTCTCACCATATGTGCATCTCCAAGCCCATATGAAAGAATTGATTTATGTGTGACCAGAAATCAGGCTTTCAAGGTTTGAATGCTTGTGTATGTTTCTAAATAGAATTAGATTGATATGCTTATTTGCTGAGTTATTTCAATCATTTAATAGTAGTCAACCAGTGATTGTTCACCTCTGATTGAATAAAGTATCCTCCTAAACACAGGTACAGTACATGAGAAGAAATCTGTTAAAGTCCTACGTTGTAGCAACCCAGACGTTTTCTGGTTGCCAATGAGCAGCTGTACAGACACAATTGGGAATAAGCACCTTGCATCAGGA